ACTGTCAAATATATGTCAAGTGCTCTTTAACCTGTGAAGTGCTAGGCAACTGTACATAAAGGGTTTCTAGTTTCTCTAGCTTTAGTCAGGCTGAGGCTGTGCTTCGGGCTTTAAGCATCTTCCCTGAGGCCAACCTTGACCTCCCTGCTCTGGTCAAAGTCTGTACAGGGGGTCTAATCCAAGTAGCAGAAACAAGCAGAAGTTCCCTCTCCACCTTCTCATCCACACACAAGTACACACATAGGTCCATGCACATACTTGCTCTGCTGTGCCCATACACCCGAGTGCGCATGTGTGTGCACTCTCACACACAGACATACACAAACTCACAGCCTCTCCCATCCATCCTTCACCCCTGAAAAGGAGGCCAGTGTCTTCAGTCCAGCTAAGCCACCTGCAGTCAGCAAAGCCACCAGGACCAGTCTGTGTTGCCCTAGGCTTATACGTGGACTTGTGCATTTCCTGACTCCGCCCAGCCAGCAACGGCTAAAATATCACTGTGGGCTGGCAGCCCACACACCAGAGCCAGCTCTCGTTGTCACCTGGCCTCCTGAGTAACTCTAGCCAGAACCCCTGGGGTGGAGGGACCCGCAGAGAACCCATGTATTTATAAAACCCATGGAAAATCACGTGTATATACACTGCTAAGGAGTCAAAAGGCAAAGAATTGTCAGCAGTGGGTGATTTCATTTTAGGCATTTTACTCTCTGTTAAGTTATTTAAATGTTCAATTATGTTGTTTAAGTGGACATAGATGTTTGCACGGGAAGTTGAAAATCGGCAGCGATATCGCTGACCGAAGAGGGCTGGTCATTTGAGCAGGCACAGAAGCAGGAGTCCAAGTCAGAAAAATTCTAGAAGCTGCTGCCTGCTCACCCATCATTGAGTCCAGATGCTGGGAGAGGTCAGCAAAGGCCTGAGGCTCAGGCTGCCCTGGATGGCCGCTCTGTGGGGTGGCCCTGACTCTAGGCCTTGTGCCCCACTGTTGCTGGGCAAGTCCTTCACATTCTATTTTATGTTTCTGCTTGTACCAACAATATATGCTTACTATTAAAGAATTCAAGGAATATATAAAAATCACAAAAAAGAAGATAAAAGTCACAAGAAGTCCTATCATGAAGAGTCACATTAAGTCCTGAGATAAACAATATTCACATCTTAGGAAATATCTTTTTGGGGCACTGCTTTGCATTAATGCCCACCCACCCACACAGTTATTTTAACTTCCTATTTATTTGATGGGGGACCTCTCACCTCCCTTTTCTATGTCTACCATGCCCCCCCCACCACCACCAATAACCAAAGTAAACAACTTGGTGTGCTCCTCCCAAACCTCTCTTCACATAACATAAAGACACACACGCATGCCTGTTTTTCTCACTCTTCAGAATTTCTAAATATGGCATAATGTCACATACTTTGCCTCCTGCTTTTCTCACGTAATGATGTGTTGTAAAAAATCCTCTTAGCCTCACTGGTAAAGACCTAGCACATTTTAAAAAATAGTTGTATAATATTTTAGAGACTTTTAGAGTGTGGATTTATTCACAATTCTCCAAATGGTGATCAATTACAAAGCTTGTTTTTGTTTTTTGCTGCTTCGACTTTCACTGAAATTAACGTTTTGATATTTCATATATTTCTATATAATGATGCTTTATTAGTCTGTGAGAGTTTCATAAAGTGGAATTATAAATCAAAGGGTATGTATAATTTTTAATTTTAATAGAACTTGACTGATTGCTTGTAAAAGGTCAGTAATATTTCATATTTTATTTGTTCAGTAAATATTTATTAAGCTCTTACACAATGCCAAGCACTGTTTTAGCAATTAGAATTCAACAAAAGTCCCAGACCTCCTGGAGGTTTCATGCAGTGGGAAGAACATGAAATGACAATAACTTTAATAAATACTTTTGTACCAGAAATGTAGGAAAACACAATTATCCCTTGCTTTACTATCAACAATTAGTATTATCATTCTTTTCATTTTTCCCCAGTTTATTTGTGTAATTTGATATTTTATTATCTTAATTTGCATTTTCCCCATCAGTAAGTAATTTTAACATTTTTTCCATGTCTATTTAGCTATTTAGACTTGTGTTGGGTGAATTGCCTATTTATAATCGTGTATTTTTCTATTGAATGGGTTGTATGCTAGACCCATACTTCTTGTCAATGTGCATGAGCTCTGCGTATACTGTAAATATACATTTATCCGCTGTGTGCTTTGCAAACCTTTCCCCCAATCTATGCTTATCTGCCGACTTCATGATGGTTTACTTTACCATGTAATGCCTTTCATGTTAGTGAATTTATCTTTTTGTTATGACTTCTTTTTGTCCTCTCAGCTTCTGCCTATTCTATCTCTGTCAATTCTTATCTCCAAACTCTGGTTCATATGAAACGTTTCCTAAATTTTCTTCCAAATAATTTTATTTGTTATGTTCTTCTTTAATACACCTGCAATTTATCTTTTGATGTGGGGTTTAAGGTAGGGGTCCAATTGTACTTTTCTAGGTAGACAGCCAATGTCCCAATACCATTTATTGAAGTAAACCCTCAATTCTCCACTGAATTAAAGTGCCACCGTTTACAGTTCCCGTATGTACTGGAATCTGTTTGCGTCTTATTGTTCTGCTCCGCTGAGTGTCTGTCTAGTCCTGTTCCAATTTCATGCTGTTTTGATTAGTCTTCTTTTTCATCATTTTAAAAGTTAGGTTTCAAAATTACAGTTTTTATCCAATTAAAAACTATGATGTTATTAATTTATATTAGGAATAAGAAAGATGCCATAATCACAAAACAAAACAGATTGAAATAATTATAAGACAATACTATGTAGAAGTTTTGGAAACAAATTGAAAAATGTGGAGGAAATAAAATATCTTCTATAAATCACATAAGTCATCCAAATAGTGCAAGGAGGGGAGAAATGGAAACAGATAAAATCAGGGTGTGTCTGAACAGATAAATTTCTGAAGAAGAAATTTAAAAAGTATTTAATGGCCTACTATTTAAAAGGGCCCGAGAAACAGATGACTTATCAGCTAAGTTCTACCTAGCCTTTTAAGAACAGATAGTCCCAATGTTATTATTACTATTCAAAACCAAAGGCAAAAAGACAGAAGGCTCCTTGGTATATGTTATGAAGTTATGAAGCCAGCATCATCTTAATGGCTAACACCTCATAGACAAATCCCACTTGGGAATATAGATTCTCATTTGAAATAAAATATTTGCAAAACCTATCCATCCATGTGTCAAAACCACTAATGTACAGTAACCAACAGCTTCTACTCCAAAATACAAGGATGCTTTGATAACAGAAAATTTATCAACATAATTCATTACATCAACAAATTTTTAAAAGACTGTCCTATTAATAGACACTAAGTAGACACCTGATAAAATTTAGTAGCTATTCCTAATATAAACCCATGATCCCTTATCCAAAATTCTGATACCCCAGTAGCTCTGAAAACTAAAATGTTGACCTGTAACTTCGCACCATATTTCGTCTGATGTTAAAGTTGATCTGAACTGACACAAAGTAACTACTCAAATACAGAAAGTGTTATTTTTTTTTACAAATGTACAGTATTATATGTTCTGTAGGCAAAGCACACTCAGAAATAGTATGGATTATTTGTGGCTCTCTATTCTATATTCAAGATTATTATAGTCTTTTCTTTTTTTAAGTTGAGTTTAAGGAGAACTACTATGAGGCATGTACTAGTACCTTTAACTCTCCGGAAAAACAGCAACACATTACCATGTTTCATTGAATCTAAGACACCATTACTTAGAAGGCTAGCAGTTATTTTATGTATCACCGAAAGAGAAAAAAATATGCTGTAATTATAATATGAGCCATCATCAAATGTAAAACATACTCCATTTTCAGAGATACTGAAATATAAAAAAGGTGTATCTCAGAATCTATGAAATATGGTGCAGACATCCAAAGGCAATCAGGAGTCGACCAGGGACCACACGGCTGGTCAGGACTCAAGGTCCCTTCCTCTATCGATGTCCGGGTCTTGGGGAGGACCCAGGTGGTCTGGGGTCAGCCAGGCTTCAGAGTTGCTCTGTATTGATTAGTTGTTTGATCATGAAACAGCTATTTAATGCCTCAAACCACAGTCTTGGCTGGGATAGTGCTGAGATGGTATGAGGCTGAGTGTGGTGGTCTGGGGTCAGCCAGGCTTCAGAGTTGCTCTATATTGATTAATTGTTTTGATCATGAAACAGCTATTTAATGCCTCAAACCACAGTCTTGGCTGGGATAGTGCTGAGATGGTACTAACACCTGCTTACACTTATTTAGAGAGTTGAAAGTGGGATATGAGATAGGGCTTGTGACATTCCTGGTCCAGAGTAAGCCCTCCCTAAATAGCAGCCCCTGGAATGAGGGTGGTGGTGTGAGTGGCCAGAATCTAGGATGTTTCCCCACCTGTCATCCTGTGATTCCCCGATATTCCTGGAGAAGCTGCGATTGGCCTTAGACGCCTGAGCTATCTGTGTGCCCTAAATTTATGAAATCTGACCTGAATCCCTGAGTTGGCAAGGACCTGACACGCCCTAACGGGTCGCGAGAGGAAGTGTGACTTTCCCGGGTGGTGCAGGCAGTGGCAGGTGCCAACTAAGACCCAGACCACCGGACACATTGGTCAGACTCTTTCCAGATGCCAAGACTCCTGTCCCGGGAGGTGGGATGAGGGGTGGAGTCCACTCTAGGAGTTTATAATCTCTCTGTCCTAAGTCCAGTCATTTCTCCTCTCTGGGCCACTTCTCCCTGCTCTGGGGTAAAAAGATGGATGCAAGCGTAACCCACCAACCCCATTCTAACTTCGTGTCTGACTTTGACCTTCACCGTCCCCCACTTCCACCCCACCTCTCTAATTGGCCACCGGGAAGGAGTTTAGGGGAGCTCTTCCGTTCGGAGGCTCTGAAGACCTGCTCACTTCATCACCCATCTGCTGTGTGTTCTCTGACAGGATGGGAGTGGTGAGCAGCAAAAAGCAGGTCAAGGAGAAGAGTAAGGGCCAATGGAGCCCTGTGAAGGTCAGCGCCCACAGCAGAGAGCCCCCACCACTGCCACCCCTGGTGAGTGATCGCTTCTCCCAGCTGGAGAGGGAGGGGGAGGGGGGAGAGCACAGAGCACGTGTGGCTCCCTGGGGGCTGCTCCTAGTCTCCAGCAAGTCCCAGTGCCCTCTCTTGATAACCCAGGGCTCCCACAAATAGAACCCCCCATGCCAGCGCCACCCGAACTCATATTGGTGTTACAGATCATAAAATATTTAACCGCCAGATTGCTGGAATTTAAACCTATTAGCTGTGCCTTTGAAGCAGGTTTCTTAACTCCCTTTAGCCTCAGTTTCCCCACCTTTAAAGTGGGTAGAATAAAAGTGCCTTTCTGATGGGGATGTAACAATACGCCATGTAGATACAAGTATGCAGTGCTATAATGTATTACCTTTAGCACAGACCTGTGCATGGTTCGCCCCCAATAATTCTTAGCCAGTTTTCATTGGGCAAGGGCAGCCTTGAAGAGAAAGGAAAATCAAAGAGGTCAGCTGAGGGAAGGGTGTGGTGGGGGAGAGCCTAGGGCATTTAGCAATATCTGCTGCTCTCAACTCTATCCAGAAGCTCCTGGATCATTGTCCCCTTCCTGGTGTGCCAGCATTCCAAAGAGCTCAGTCCCCTGGGACAAGGCAACCTAAGAGGGGAGGGTGCTTATGCTCACCTCCCACAGGCCCTCGAGTGCTCATGGAGCCTGTCTCAAAGTTCTGGTTTGTTGACAAAGTAGTTAGCTCCCTTTGATGCTACTGGTTCCTAAAGATGTGTTTTTATATGACTGTCTGTGTCCCCCCATTTGGCCACCTACCCCCTTTTTATTTGGGACAATTGGAAATCATGCCTGGACTCCTGTTTCCTGCTCTCTTCCCGCCCCCCGCCCCCAGGCACATCCAACTAGTCATCACTTCATCCCAACTGTGACCAAATGGGAGTGGTGACTGCTATTCCCATTTCTTAGATAAACCAGGCATCTTATCGGTGTCCCAACTTAGTGCAGGGCTTGGCATGTAACCATGAAATGTTTGTTGAATAAATGAATGATCAAAGGTCCATAGATTAATGATTGATTTATCCGACTGAGAAAATTACTCAATAGGACTTAGATTCAATAACTTCTTCAGAGTTACATGCTAATAAGTAGTAGAGCCTGGAATGTTTTTAACTTTTAAAAAGTCACATAATACATATCAATTATGAAAAAAATTATAAGTATTCATTATCCCACTAGCCAGTGATACCCGGAGTTAGCATTGCAGAGGTCCTGCCTCCAGACCCTTTTCTTTTTTTAATTCTTTATTGTTTAGAGTATTACATACATCTCCTTTTCCCCCCATTGACCTCTCTTTTAATTCTTTATTGTTTAAAGTATTACATACGGCTCCTTTTCTCCCCATTGACCTCTCCCCAGCCGTTCCAACCCCCCAGCACGTGCCCTCACCCCAGACTCCTTTCTTGTGTGTTATTTATGTGTTTCTATTTTCAGTGGAACCGTAATACTATACATACCATTTTGCAAATTGCTCCTTCAAATTTGTGTTTAATAAATACCAAAAAAAAGATTATTGATTACAGGTTGAAAGCAGGAGAATAAAACGAACACTTAGTGCAGCCCCTCCCATCCTCAGAATTAGAAAGTGACCCATCGCGCGGAAGGCCTCTGCTGTCCCCCAGTCTGTCCCCCTCGCCCCAGGCCCCACTATTCTGATGTGCTTACTCCTTAGCTTTGCTTCTTCTGTAGCATCTTATAGGCATATATTCCTAAACACTATTTAATTTAATTTTGCATGTTGTGAACTTTAAATCTAATGAATCCAACAGCATGGATTCTTCTGAGACATGGGTTTCAGATCTGTGTTTTTCATTGGGAGCATCATCCATGTGGATGCATGTAGCTATATCTCCTTAACTGCCACCGCTGTGTAGGAGTGATTGCATGCATATGCCCCAATTTATCTATTCTTTGGTCATTTGGTCATGTAATTATTATTATTATTTATTATTATTATTATTATTATTATTATGTGTTTCTGCTGGGAGCAATGTTGCACATGTTTCCTAGTGCACATATGCAAAAGTTTCTCTACAGGGTATATACGTAGGAATATATTAGTTAAGTTTTAAGGAAATACATTTTTAAAAATAGATTTTTATTGATATCAGAGAGAAAGGGAGGTGGAGAGATAGAAACATCAATGATGAGAGAGATACATTTTAAAAATAATTTTCCTTAAGAAAAATTCATCATTTAATGGCAGAGGCAGGATTTTAAGCCAGGTGATGGGGTGTTCCTCCCCTCCCCCGACCACCACATCCATTCCACAGCTGCCTCTTGCAAAGTTGGGCATCCCTACATACCGCTCCTCTAAATGTATATATAAGGTCCGGGCAAAGATGGCAGGTGATCCGGGGCTTATTTGAGATGGCACCGGTACCTGTGCAAACTCCTGTGCCAACAGGGCAGCTCCCACACACACAGCAGCCTCACCCACCGCCCTGCAGGCCCTGCCCAGCCACGGGCCTTGAACTAACGCAGAGGGCATGTGTTTCTGCTCCAGGTCCTGTTTAACCATCTGGCTCCTGCACCTCCCGACACACACCCGGATCAAGGTAAGAAGGGGCTGCTTTGGAAGCTGAGGCTCCTCAGGCCTCCTCCCCAGGCCCCGGATTTATGCAGTTAGAACAGGGGCTCAGTCAGGACAGCTTCCTGGAGAGGAAGTGCCTGGGCCCCTAGAATCTTAGGGGAGATGGCTAGGGGAGGCTGAGGGGGGAGCCTGTGGCCCAGCTCTGACCCAGCCTCGCCTGCCCTTGGGGGCCTCTCCGGCAGCCAGGCACCGGTTCCTTTAATGTACCTCGGTGGGCATTTGTAAAGGACTTTACAAACTACAGATGAGCACAACAAGACAAGAGTTACAGTGAATACAAACAGCACCATGAAACCCAGGCTTTCAAAGATCTAACTCCCAGCCTCAGAGGGTGAGGACCATGGTTCTGAGTCCTCCCTCCAGCCCTCAGTCTGTTGCTGTTTGAATTACCACCCTGTTCCTCACTTTCAAAAGTCCCCTGCTGACCTTCTAACCACTCACTACACCCTCCCGCGCCCATCTCCACTTGCACTTTGGTGGGCAGGACTATAGAGGTGACATAGCAAATGACTCCGGCCTTCCTGAGTCAGGGGCTCAGACCTCAGGAGGGTCTCAGGGGATGGTGGCCTCACTCTGAAGTGGCGTACAGGAGAGCAGAATGCCGGCCTGGGCCTACGCCATTCATTCACTCACTCACACAGAAGGCACTGAGCAAACAGGACCCAGAGCTGGCTCTGTCCAAGGACTGGGGAAGCTGTATAAGACGTGGCTCCTCTCTGCAAGAACTCAAGAGTCTGTCAGACTCATGAGCAAGGTGTTGAAGCCTGGGCAGTGACCTCACCTGGTGTCCCTCATCCTGTTGGAGATCACAATTAATTAGCATCGCAGGGCCACCCTCCGCTTCCTGCCAGAGGGGTCAAATTTCCAGGAAGAAAGTCTAGGTCAGAGGTTCTCAACCTGTGGGTCACGACCCCTTTGGCGGTCGAACGACCCTTTCACAGGGGTCGCCTAAGACCATCCTGCATATCAGATATTTACATTACGATTCATAACAGTGGCAACATTACAGTGATGAAGTAGCAACGAAAATAATTTTATGGTTGGGTCACAACATGAGGAACTGTATTTAAAGGGCCAGAAGGTTGAGAACCACTGGTCTAGGGGAAGGAAATAAACTAACTGCTTTTGGTACAGGAATTTGAATCTCAGAACCAGAGGGGCCTCTGTCATCTTCTCCAACCCCCTCTTCCCAGCATGGGAAGGTGACCAGCCCAAGGTCACGCCAAGCATTAGAGACATCACTCTCGGGGAAGCTGGGTGGTCTCCAGGTGACCTTTTCCAGGTGGGCCTTGGCTCCCCAGAGCTGTGCAGAAAAGCCCTCATCAGTTGAGAGATGCCATGCAAGCTCCGGAGCCCTCTCTCCACCTCCGTCCTAGGGACCACCAGCAAGCGGGGGGCTGCCAGCCAGAAGCACCATGATGGGACCTGGGCATGGCTGCAGGGCCATGTTCCAAGACCACTGCTCCCCTCGGAGCAGAGGCTGGAAGGGGCAGGTGGGGACGGGAAGAGAGGAGAAGCTCACATGCCCCCGGGAGGTAAGGGATCAGCCAACACTGGCTTCCAGACTTGGGTCTTCGGCCATCAGGTCCACGCTGCTGATCTCCCTAAACGCTGGGCTACCCAGTCCCTTACACACTAGCCCCGTCTAGGCCTGAGGGTCTCTAGGTGGGGTCCAGAAAGGAAGTCACGATGGGCTCAGAGGGGCAGTATGCCCTTGTTCCCAGCAGCAAGCTCAGGAGGCCAGTCTGCCAGACAGAAACGTCTTCTGCATCAGTGAGTGAGAAGGCTCCCCATGGCTTCCCCTCTATCCTCACCTTTTCCTGACCCTCTTAGTAGCCAGAAGGTGCTCACAGCACAGGCTTACCCCAGCCCTACCATCAGTCCCGTGGGCCTGAGCGGTGGCCATGTCTTCTTTGTTCCTCCTAGAAGAGCATTTCGTGGTGGCGCTGTATGACTACGTGGCAGTGAATGACCGTGACCTGCAGATGCTGAAAGGGGAGAAGCTGCAGATCCTAAAAGAGTAAGTTCCCAGGATGCTGTAAGTCTCCAGGATGCTGTCTCGTGGTCAGAGGCCTCTGCCGCTCCCTATCAGAGCAGGACTCCCACCCATCCGCCCATCTGCCTTATTCCACCCCGCCATGCTCTCTTTAGCTGCCTCCAGAATATTTTCTCCACTGCCCAGCCCCAAGCCCAGGTATCCAGCATCTTCTTTAACTTGACCCAATTGTCTTTCTTCCATCTGCCTTTCCAAAGTCTTGCTGGTGAGGGGGTTTCCTACTCCGCTGTCAAAATCCTACTCTTCCTTCAAAGCCCACCTCTAATGCCACCTCCTTCGTGCAGCCCTCCTGACTCCCACAGTGTTCGCCTAGTCGCTCCATCACAGCTTTGTGTTGGAGTCAGTTGTGTCAATATTTGTCTCCCTCCCCAGACGAGATCTCGCGCGGGATTCTACTTATGAAATCGGCTGTGGTTTATTCCCACTGTTCCTACTCAGAGACTCCTCCAGAATCTGGTCTCACACATCTGATTGTCCTGAGGGCCTGCTTTGTTCTTGATGTTCTGCAACGACCTTGAGCTCACAGCATGCAAACCCTGACCTTTTGGCCATCCCTGGGCCGCCCGTTCCTCCTGTCACCAGCAGCCCTCCTGTGTTATCTTTCCTGTCCAGTCCCAACTCGCTCACTATGTTCTAAAGACGTCCACTAATCAAGAGGAAGGCTACTCACTGTGAGACAGGGGCCCTGGGGGGTTGGTCAGGCTGTCTAGACCAACTGTCCCCTGGAGGCTGTGCATCCCCCCCTCTCCCCTGGGCCAGGAGCACCGTGAGTTTGAAATAGCCCAGGTAGTTCCACGTCACTGAGCAGCTTGCACGAGCTCCCTCTCATCTGCCAGGCTGTCTGCCTCTGTGGGTCCTCTGCCTCGCAGGGATGAGACCCAGTCCTGGGGGGCCTGTGAGCTGCCGCAGAGAGGCACCCGTCTGAGCCACTCCCTCATTTTTGTTGTTTCCTTCTTCCCTTAGGTCTGGAGACTGGTGGTTGGCCAAGTCTCTCATCACGGGAAGAGAAGGCTACGTGCCCAGCAACTTTGTGGCCCAAGTAGAGACCCTGGAAGTGGAAAAGTAGGTGGACAGACGGAAGGCCCCTCAAAGCAGAGGCATGTCCCCTGCTTCTGCCGCGCAGGGTGTGGCCAGACAGTGGCTAAAAAGTGAGCCTGTGTGAGCCCAGCAGGAGGGAGCAGGAAAGGGACAGGGAGCTGGAACTCCTGGAACAGGCTTGACGATGTTTCAATTGCTGTGTGATCCTGAGAGAGTTGCTCCTCTGTGAGCACCTCACTCCCCCATATGAGAACCGACCTTTCCTGACTCACCTGGACTGAAAACGTCCCCGTGTCCCACGGCCTTGCAAGCTAACAAGGAGGTGCTGGATCGGCTCACACTCCCCAGTGCCTCCCGGGCCTGGGGCCTGGGGGACTCCCAGGGTGGTGGCTCATTCAGAATTGAATTATCAAGGAGCAGCATCCTCATGAGCCCCTGGAAGGTCTGCTGTGGGCCTCAGCCATTCATTCACTCACACAGAGGGCAATGAGCAAACAGGACCCAGGGCCCGGCTCTGTCCAGGGACTAGGGAAGCTGTAAAATGAGTAACACGTGGCTCCTCAAGTCAAACTCAGGAGCAAAGTGTAGGAACTGGGTTAGTGGTCCCACCTGGTGTCCCTCGTGCAGCGATGGTAGGTAGCCCTTGGGAGGGTTCCTTGTCTGGCACTCCCGGCCCTGGCCCAGCCCTGGAACAGCACGCACTCCCACGCTGACCAGTCCCTGCGCAGGGCGCCATGGTGGGAATCAGGCTCTGAGAATCTACTTCAGAGACCGACTGCAAGGAGAGCGTGCTCTGAGAGTAGGCAGCTGGGCGCCTTTTCCCAGAGTGAAGTTAACAAAGGGCACCCATATAATGGTTTTGTTTCACTTCAAGAAAACAGTAAGTCCAGGCGTGGGAAGAAAGGGGAGGACGACACCAAGGGGCATGCGTGGATCAAGCTGGGAGGAGCGCTGGCTCAGGGCGGACCTGGGAACAGGGACACAAATTTTATTTCTTGGGGGCAGAGGCACAGCTTAGGAGGGAGGTTTGGAGAAGAATGATCCGAGGAGCATGGCCACTCTCTGAGGCTCGCCTGCCTTTGACCTTTTCCAGGTGGTTCTTTAGATCAATTAGCCGGAAAGATGCCGAGAGGCAGCTTCTGGCTCCAATCAACAAGGTGGGCTCCTTTCTCATCAGAGAGAGCGAAACCAACAAAGGTAAGCGTGGGCAGAGCCCTTCCCTCCCTGTGTGCTCTGGGCGGCCCCCACCTGAGGCCTGGCTGCTGCCAGGGCAGTGGGAGGGGAATGCCAGCCAGGAGAACCTGGCAGCCCCCAGGCCCCAGGCTCCCAGTTCAGGCTGGATTTGGTTCCCTGTGGTTGGCACGATGAGAATGGACAGAGGTTTGGCATTCAATTACACACACACACACACACACACACACACACACACACACACAGCCCTCCATTCACGGCCTTAGATCTGCAGTGAGTGGAAACACCAGAGCAGCAGACGCTGGACACAGAGAGCTGCTTATCACACACTGTGAGGCTCAGGGGAGAGCCCTCAGCCTCATGCCCCTCAAAGGGTCGGGGCTGGATTGGAGGAGAAAGGGTGCATTGATAAGTTGGGGTGCTCTGTGCAGACTTCTCTGTGCAGAATTTCCTGTAGTGCACCAATGGATGCATTTAATTACACACACACACACACACACACACACACACACACGGTAGGGCAAACGTAGGTTTATAGTTTTTCATATGGAAAATAACTAATAAATAATCATACAAGAATAAAACCTGTTTCACGCACTCACAACTGCAAACCTACGTTTGACCCACCTGGTATGTATGTTGCCACTATTCCATTTTAATGGCAGAGCACCTATGTCCAAGAATGAAACCTATGTGTTTTACTCCTTTTGTAGACTATTTTAAACACATACAGAAGTAGAGAGACTAGTATAATGGAACCCCTTGTACCCAACGCCCAACTCAGCCCATCTTGTTTCATGCATATCCCCACCCACACCTATTATCTTGAAGCAAATCCCAGATATGTCATTTCACCCTGGAAGGGATGTTTTTCTCATTGCCTGTGGCTAAGGTGTCCTCCTCCCGACCTCGGTGTGGAGGAGGGAGGGGTTCTCTAAGGGTGGGGACCTCCTCCTTGCCCACTGTGGGAAGCTAGTCCCAGATGGGCACTGGCCAGATGGAGCTGGGCTGCAGGATTATCCAAGCATCGTCACCCCCCATACATACACCTATTCATGCGCACACACACTCATGCACACGCAGCCCCTCAGAACTCCAACACAAGATCCCTCTGTCTACATCTGTCCACAGTGGCTGTAAGACAGGATAGAAACTCAGAAACAAGGGGACAGAGTCCTAGCTCCCTGTGGCTTCCAGGTGTCCCTAAGCATCTCTAGCCTCAGTTTATCGGTATGCATGTGAGCACCCCTTAGTCCAAAAGCAGTTGGTCTTTCCAGAGTTAAGAAATCTCCGTCTCTGGGAGCCCAGTCTGCGTGCCCAGCGCAGCCCAGAGGCAGGGCAGGGGGTCTGGGTTTTGAAGCAGGAGGTGCAGATTTTGTGAACCTGAAGCTGATAGGATTTGGGGGTTCCTTAAAGAAGAATACCAAATTGTAAAAAGATAATAGCAGATCCTTGATGAGCCTGGGCAAGTGAGGGACCCTAAGTCGTGAACTTGGGCAGTGGTTCTGGCTGGAAGAGAGCAGGTCTCCTGGGCTCATCGTGAGTTTGTGCACGCAGGGTGCAGCCGAGGAAATGGGGAGGAAGCCCTTTGTCTTGCTCCGGTGGTGTGAACTCATTAGAGCCACACTCCAATTCCTTAAATTCTGGGGCATAATTGCATCTACTAGGCGCAAGGTGGGAGAGACAGTTTGCAGCCTGCAGCTGGGGCTGGGGTAGCAGGCATTGTGTGGGCTGTGGCCTTAGCAAGGCGCCCGATGCAAGACCCACCCTCTTCGGGGTCCTTTTGCAAGTAGGTGATGAGAGAGGCACGATGGTTAAAGGAGATGGGAAGAGAGAACGAGTTTGAGATAGAGTGATGGTCTGAAAAGAAAGGAAATGTCTGCTGACAAACAGTGCAGCCGAAAATCAAGCGTCATGTCCAGAAAAAGAGGTGTTCAAGCCTGACACCTGGTGGGAGGGAGTGGTACTGCTCGCGGTAGGCAAGGCCTTAGGAAGGACTCCAGGGCTCCCAAGCCTGCTGGTTAACTAGCAGAGTGACCAGGGCCAAGAGACATCCCCCTTTGGGCCTCGGCTTTCTCACCTCCCAGTTAGAGTAGGGGCATGGTACCCAGAGAGGCGGTCAGAGGAATTTTATGAAAACATCAAGTTAATGGGAAGAAGTTTCTCAACTGGAAACTCTTGCCTCCTTAACTTACTCTTAACCCCTGGCATCGGCGAGGCGTTGTCTGCAGGCAAACATTAACATAGATGACAAATCACACTGACTTGCGAGTGGATGTGAACAGAACCCCTGGGAAACAGCTGGTCATGCTCTCCTCCCTGGACAGGGGTGCTTGAGGTTGAGATTTGGTGTTGCATGGGTGAGTAGAGTCAGCCTTTTCAGCCAGAATGCATCAATCAATCAGTCAACCTTTTAGTCCCTCCAACAGCTCTGCATTCTCAATATTCCATGGCAAAGGGTCCCCGAGTGACCAGGTGCCCGGTCCTGCTTCCTAAGAGAACGTCCTCCCTGCTCCAGAGTTCTTGGTGCCCTGGCTGAGGTGGGGAAACTCTGGCAGGAACATCTAGAACAGAGTCGGATGGAGCTGATAGGGCAGGCTTCCAGGAGACCTGAGGTTGAGATGAAGGAAAAGGCAGCCCAGGATGGAAGTGGTCAAAATGGAGAGCAGAATGCAAGGAGCTTTCCCCCAAGGCATTGAAATGAAGCCCGCATCCCCATCCAATTCTCCCTGTTTGTGCCTCACTTCTCATGCCTGTGTGTTTATTAACCCTCCAGGTGCCTTTTCCCTGTCTGTGAAGGACGTGACCACCCAGGGGGAGGTGATCAAACACTATAAGATACGCTCCCTGGATGAAGGGGGCTATTACGTCTCCCCCCGAATCACCTTCCCCACACTCCAGGCCTTGGTGCAGCACTACTCTAGTAAGACGGGGCATGTGATGGGGGTGGAGACCTGAGCCGGGCAGCCCTTGTATCTCTTTATTGCTAAGATCTCGAGATTGAGAATCATTGGTGCTGTCTTGGAGTTGACATTGTCAACATAGTGATTTAAAGTCTGTGTACTTAATCCCGTCTACTGGATCAGCATTCAACAACCTGGAGAGTAACAAATGTTTTCATCTTAGAGAGAATCAGGTTGATGCTAGCATGCCTTGCTTTATACCAAACAATTGCAAAGAGCCGAGTGTGTGTGTGTGTGTGTGTGTGCGTGCGCATGTGTGTTGAGTGTGTGTGTGTGTGTGTGCATGTGTGTGTGCGCATGCACATGTGTATAGGAGCACTTGGGGTGGGGGTGGGGCTAGCAACAGGTGGTGCGGGACACAGCTAAGAGAGGTAAGGCTCTCCAGGAAGAGATGTGAGCCCAGCTGCTCTGGTAACCTCCAGCCCATTTCTTCTCTAACACAGAGAAAGGGGATGGCTTATGCCAGAAGCTGACCCAACCCTGTGTGAGCCTGGCTCCCCAGAACCCCTGGGCCCAGGATGAATGGGAAATCCCCCGGCAGTCTCTCAAGCTGGTCCGGAAACTCGGATCTGGGCAGTTTGGCGAGGTCTGGATGGGTGAGTGTGCGGTATGCCGGGAGCCTCTCGCCCTGCCCTGCGTCCTGACGCACAGAAGGCTCAGGATTTGCACAGTGCATCCTGTTTCCCCAGAAAGGCTGTGAGGGAGAAGGGACAGAGGCGATGATACCCATTTCACCAATGAGGTGATGGAGGCATAGAACACTGTTCCTCAAATGCCGGAGGGAGGCTGAGACAGGCTGACATCTGGCAAGATAAGCTGACACATCCATCACCCTCAGAAGCTGTACATTCCAGCTCAGGGCCACTTCCTAAGGGGGTGGCTCTAGCCTCAGCCCCCAGCCCACTTCCCAGCATCGAATAGCTCCCAAAAGCTTATGTAGATTTTGGTTAAGAGATCACCTCCCACAACCTCTGGGACTTCTGAATGGCTTCTTCATTCTCTCCCCACCCCACCCCGTCTCCCGGCTCAGGTTATTACAGAAACAATGTGAAGGTGGCCATCAAGACCCTGAAGGAGGGAACCATGTCTCCGGAGGCCTTCCTGGGCGAGGCCAACCTGATGAAAACTCTCCAGCATGAAAGGCTGGTTCGTCTCTATGCCGTAGTCACCAAGGAGCCCATCTACATCGTGACCGAGTACATGGCCAGAGGTGGTGCCCCGTGGGGGCCTGTGTCCCTCAGACAGAGGCGGGGACGGGGGAGGCTATAGGCTTAGGGGCTGAGAAGGCAGAGGCCCATCTGCTGCCATGGGTTTGCCTGGCAAGGGACCTGTGCAGGGGATCACTGAGCCATGGGTGTCCCACCAGCCATAGGGGACAAAGGGGAGGAATAAGACAAGTACTAGCCAGTGGCTCTCTAGAGCTTTGTCCTCCGCTCAGGAGCACTTGGAGTATGCCTTCTGTGGCCGGCACTGTTTGACATCTGCTGGGGAGGACAGACCATGGCCAAGTTGAAAGAGCAGTAGGCTGGGCATCCATAGATGGTTCTAGTCCCAGGTCTACCACTCACCAGCCATGGGACCTTTTAAAACCATATGAACATTTTACCACACGGTGAAAAGAGAGGTTAGATGCGATGGCCTCTGAGGTCCCCAGTGTGGCCAAGCTCTCATGGGGCAGTGGGCCAGGGGTTGGGCTTCGGCCTTTGACCTCCTTCTCACCCCTCCTGTGACACTGACCACACACTGCTTCCTGTGGATTCTAAGGTGCCATGCTAATATAGTTCCTTAAATGTTGCCATGAAGGGGGCCCCACATTGAGCTGGGGACCCAATGGCTCCCCTGCTCACCTCTTAGCCACACCTCAGGTGAGTGTCCCTCGGGGCTTTTAGAAGCACTAAATCCCAGGGCAGGGGTCCTCAAACTTTTAAAACAGGGGGCCAGTTCACTGTCCCTCAGACCGTTGGAGGGTCAGACTATAGTTTAAAAAAAAAACTATGAACAAATTCCTATGCACACTGCACATATCTTATTTTGAAGTAAAAAAACAAAACGGGAACAAATACAATATTTGTATTTGCATGTGGCCCGCAGGCCATAGTTTGAGGACCCCTGTCCCAGGGGCTGGGTCTCTCCATTCTGGTGCTGAGAGGCACACTTTCTACCAACAAAGGGTGAAGGGAGCGAGAAGGTCATGCCGGAATGAGCACAGAACTTAGAGTCAGAGGAGCAGGTTGTGCTCCCGGCTCCCTGGCTTGTGACCCTGAACCTGGCTGAAAACTAACCTCCTGTGAGTAGCCGGGAGCATATTAACTGCCTCCTGGGTGCCGTGAGGACCGAGGTTGGAATTCTGCAGAGCGGAAGGCACTCTGACACTGTGGATGGATTTCTCCTCTGTGGACAAGAGTCTCACAGAGCGCCACTTGCTTCGGCCCCGGTGGGGAGCAGCCCACACCTGGAGGAGGCTGGCCTGGCCGGGGAGGGGTCATTTGCAGAAGTGCAGCTGCAGCTTCTCTTTCCTCAGGATGCTTGCTGGATTTCCTGAAGACGGATGAAGGCAGCAGATTGTCCCTCCCAAGACTGATCGACATGTCGGCCCAGGTTTGTGAGCTGCCAAGGGCAGCGGACCTGAGTACCAACACCCTCATGAGGGGCCGAGGCCTCCAGGTCTCTCCTCCCTGCCCTCTGGCTTAACAAAATCAACTATTTAGAGGTTGTATCTATCTGATTTAGGCTGGGCTGTGAAGGACAGAAAACCCAAAGCAATAATGGCTTAAATGTGTCAATATCCAAAGGTGGAAAGTCTGGGTGGTAGGTGGACTTGTCTCTCAAAGTCACAGGGACCCAGGTTTCTTCCATCTGCCAGGTGTCTTAGCACGTCATCGGATTGCCCAAGGTGGATGCTCACGCCTTACCATCTTGTCCTCTTCTCAGTCAGCAGGAAGAAGTAAAGGGGTTGAAAGCCCATTTTCCTCCCTAGAGACAGCTCCCTGAAGTCAGCCACTACATTGCTCTTACATCCTCCTGGCCACACCCAGCTGCAAGGGATCTTGGGAAATGTAGTCTTCATTCTGGGCAAGCATGATGGGATGATGTGGGTTCTATCAATAAGGAAGAGAGGGAGAACGGATGGTGGTATGGAAAACCAGAGAGTTTGCATGAACTCCATGTAGCGTGGCAGGCAAGTGTTTTGTGGTGACCTCGTTTCTTCCGCAGGAGGTGTCCACAAGCATCTTCTGAGGCAGGGGGGAAATGGAGAGGAGGCTCTTTCCTCCCCAGCGATTTTAGCTGAGGCCTCTCACTGGCAGGAAAACCCATCTGGGGGCCCCGAGTGTGTGTCTGTTAAAACTGGAACTCTCAGCAGAAAATCTGTGGTCAACCTGTGAGACATGTAAATGCACACACACATCCGGCTCCAGAAAGGAAACCTCCCCTCCCCACACACCCCTCCCCACCCCGGAGGCCTTATCTGCTATTAGTATCGATGCAGGAACTGATGTCACCACACCCTTTTTCCACAGACAGGTTTGAGGAGGCTGGTGAGATGGTCTCGGAAAATTAGCGCTGGTAACCGGTTTCAAACCACATATGAGTGATAAACCCGTGGGCTCCTTTCTTTTCCTTCTCTCGCTCTCTCCTGCCTTGTATTCAATTCCTTAGTCATCCAGGGGCAAAGGATGTGAAAAGCCACCTCAGTTCATCCCCAGGTATGGTCAAGATGCTGAGGGTTAAGAAACCCAAAATCAGAACCCCCCCCCAGGTGATCAGCTTCTAAACCATTTTCTAGTCATGCTAGTACCTCACCACGGGTGCACATGCGTGCGCACACACACACACACACACACAAACACTCAAACTCAATGCCCTTCTGGGTGCGCCTTTTCCTGCTCTACAGGATGGAATGCAAAGCTCCCCTCCAACCACAACCCCAGGCGCAGCCACACGGCAGCTCTCTGATGCCTTGAGAGCCTTTGCCCGGGCTCCTCTCTTCCCCGAATGCCTTTGACTCTCTTCTCACCTGGAAGAATCCTAATCAATGTTCATGACCCAAGTCAAGTGTCGTTTCTAGTAAACGTTCCCTGGACAGAAAAGTGCTAGAGAGCACTTAGCTCGTATGTTCTCATTCGCATCATGCACGGTAGATTCTTCTCCTTGAAAGCAGATCTGGGTCCTACTCAACCTTTTCTTTCTTTCTTTCTTTCTTTCTTTCATATTTCTAGTACTACTCGATACATATTTTTTAATGGGATGAGCACTGCTAAATGCTACTCGATACTCGATACTTAGCTTTATAGTCCCCACAGTATCATACCAGTAAATGTGTGTTGATGGAATGATTTAGCAAAGGAATGAATGAGTGAATTCATTCCTTCATGGATAAATCAATAAACTTGGAAATAGAAGGAGAGGTGGGATTAATCCCAGTGCTGGCTTCTTGCCACCACAGGTTTGAGATGATTAACTGGCTTTCTATGCTCTGCCTCAGTTTCTTCATCTATCAATGGGAGTGCAGAGAATGAAGCTTGAGTGAGTTTCCTTGGCTAAAGGACACACGAGCAGCACAAACAGCTATTCCGGCCCAGTGCTGGTGACAGGGGACAGCCATGGAGTCTCCTCTTCTTTTCCTGCCTCTGTTCCATCGGGATTTGGCCCCTGCTCCCTGAGAGCCCGCCCTGGAGCAGTGCTGGGTTAGGCTCTCAGCCACCTGTCTCATTTAATGCTCACCTCCACTCTATGCCCTGGACACCCCTTTCCTGTGTTCCAATAAGTTCAGTGACAACTCGGGGAGCTTAAGCAACAGGCCAGGGGTCAACAACTCCAAACCAGGGCACCCTGCTCCAAAAACTGTGCTTCCAACAGGCCAAGAAAATGAAACCCTCCCCCCCTTCCCCTCTCCCTCCTGCCCCTTCCTTTTCTTCTCCCCTGCCCAGAGACCTCCCTTTTCTCCTGTCTTCATTTTGCTGTCTCCCTCCCCTGCAGACACCTGGAAGGAGAGGAGAGGTAGCCCCTAGCTCTGATGGCAGTGTCTCTGCCTTTCTGGGCTTCGAGGGGACAGGGCTGTGTAGCTTATTCAGTTGAGGACAGTGGAAGCCATCTTTCTACCCCACCCAAGAACCTGCTCCTTCTCCAGCACCACCACCCTCCATGCACCTACCAAAGACAACAACAAACATCAAGCATTCCTTCCCTCCCCTTCCAGGCTGAGAGGATGAAGGATGCTTCTACAGACAGGGTGGTGGTGAGGGTGGGCAGGGTCCTTCCTCTCCCCCATAGGGACTTTGTAGGGCGCCCCAGATGGGCGAGGTCCTTGCATGGAGGTCCCCATGCTGCCCTTCCCTTTGTGGCATGTTCCCTCAGATTGCCGAAGGAATGGCGTATATTGAGAAAATGAACTCAATCCACCGTGACCTCAGGGCGGCCAACATCCTGGTGTCTGAGACGTTGGGCTGCAAAATCGGTGACTTTGGCTTGGCCCGGATCATCGACAATGAATACACCGCCCAAGAGGGTGAGCAGAGACTCCCAACCACAGGGAGACCTTGGGACTTAACCTTCCCCAACTCCCAACTCCCCTTGGACTTCTCCTCATCACTACATAGCAGAGCCCTGTGTGAAGAGATCAGAGAGCTGTGGGGTTTCCACAATTCTGGCCTTACCCCCAGGGGGATCAGCTTTTCCCTAACTGTGCTCTGCAGAGCACTAGTGCCCTCTGAGGAATGGCTGTGTGAAGTAGGTCTGCAGATACTGCAAAGTCCATCCAGGGCTCCCTTGGTGATTTCCAAGGCACACCAGCATATTAAAGGCACTGAGAAGTCCTGCAGGAAAGCCACTGTGTACATTTGCTTCACTCCTCCAAACTGATTTGAGCCCAAAATACATTTCCACTTTATCATCTACTAACCTCCCATAGAACTAGGGTTTCAAAGGACACACTTTAGAAGGCACTGCTCTCAAGTATGAGCAGCAAACCCTTATACCTGAATTAGATTTCCACAGAGCCCTTTAGCATAACTGAAGTAAAACTCCTCTTCACCAGGGGAATCGAAGGGGTCACATACATTTATCAAGCAGGCTGGCCAGCCATATCAGCTGGGCACATTAATCAGTGGGTGCAGGAGAAGGATCAGTATGGCTCAGCCCCTGAGGGACCTCAGGCTGGCTGGGGAGGCGGAGAACGCTAGGCGAGGTGGGAGCAGGCCGGGTGCTGAGCCATGCCATCCGCTCTGAATGCTGATCAGACGGCAGCCATCCGCAGGGCTTCGTGGGGCAGCGGCATTTGAATCCCCTCCTCACTGTGACTCTCAGAGACACATAAATCATCATTTCCACTGTGCAGGAAAGGATTAACAGGCAGGGGCAAGCTAAAGTGGCTCCCCCAAGCCCTGAGTCCCTGTTATTCACAAGGCCAGGTCAGGGGGAAAGGGACGCCTCTGTCCAGATGGAAACAGGGGGTGGTTGCCCAGGGAAGACCCCTGGGCACAGCCCTAAAGAGGGTGACCGGGGTGACGTTTGTGTCCCTATTGTCCTTTCATGCTGTGGCTCCCCGTTGTCTGCACGCACTTGGCCATGCGTCCTAGTGAGTCTCAGTGACTCTCTGGACAAATACACAAGCCCTGCAAGACGCTGTGGGGTGGGAGGAACAGGAAGAGCAGGAAGTGGGGGTGTGGGGTCAGTCAGCCATGGCCTCACAGAGCTGCTCATGGCTTTTCCCGCAGGGGCCAAGTTCCCCATCAAGTGGACTGCCCCGGAGGCCATCCATTTTGGGGTGTTCACCATCAAGGCGGACGTGTGGTCATTTGGCATCCTCCTGATGGAAATCGTCACGTACGGGCGGGTACCCTACCCAGGTAGGCAGTTTCTTCCCGTGGCGACTCTCGAGTCCCCTGCTGTCCTGGGTGGTTGTGATGGCAGACAGCCCTCCATGTGCCTGGAGTGTCCAAATGTGTGTCAGAATGGAGTCTCGATGGTGGGGACAGTAACCAGGCATACCAGTCTGGAGGGGGGGGAGGCGGTGTTCTGCCCCCTTCTTTTTTTTTTTAATATATTTTTACAGAGAGGAAGGGAGAGGGATAGAGAGTTAGAAACATCGATGAGAGAGAAACATCGATCAGCTGCCTCCTGCACACTCCCCACTGGGGATGTGCCCACAATCAAGGTACATGCCCTAGAGCTGAATCAAACCTGGGACCCTTGAGTCTGCAGGCTGATGCTCTATCCACTGAGCCAAACCGGTTAGGGCTGTTCTGCCCCCTTCAACATCGCTCTTGTCAACAGGGCTGCGTCCCCTTCCTCCCTAGGGCTGCATCAGCCCCCAAACCTGGAAATAAGAAAAGGTCAGGGTCTGACTCTTTTACTCCCAGTTGGTTTGATCTCAGTGGAGGCCTGGGCCTTGGGAGTAGCCCCTCCCTGGTTGTAAAACCCGGGCCCCCGCCCCACGTCAGAAGGGCCTGGGCCCCTGAGCAGTCTCTCCTAATGAATGGGTGGTGCGTTCTCTCCAAACACCTGCCCAGCGAGCGAGCCATGCGCTTCGGCTGCGTGTCAGGCAATCACAGAGAAGCCAGGTAGGGCCCCACCCACGGAGGAACTGGCCGCACTGAGGACAAGTCCACAGCCTCATTGCCAGCGGCGCTGCGGGCAGTGAAAAGTACATCAAGGCCGGTTTCAAGGGGGCACCCGGCGGGCAGCCACGTGACCTGGGTGGG